GGATCGGGTTGCGCAACGCGCCTGCGTGAGTCACCGGAGCTGGAGTGGCGCGGGCCGCTGGGTTGCGCCAGCCTGGTGCCCCTGACCGGAGCGTGCGTCGGCTGCGGTGGCGGCGCGCCGGCGCCCTGGGAGCCGATGCGGACGCGCGCGCGCCCCGACCGAAACAGGAAGTGGCCGGCGGAGAGGGCGCATTTTTCACGGCGACGGCCGGGCGACAGGGGACCTTGGCTCGCCACGGAGTAGCGCCTCCCACAGCGATACTGAAGACGGCCACCGCTCTATTGAGGAGAGATCGGCATTTATCAGCCGCTAGCGTCTGATGCGGGTAGGGGTCACCCACGGTCTGTGATGACGCGGGCGGCGCCGGCTCCGGCTCCGGCCGCTGCCGGCACTGCCGACGTCGGCCAGATATATCGCGGCATCGGGCGGCACGCGAGAGTCGCGTTGGACGCGGAAAGCGCGCGCACGGCGGTGCGGTGAAGAAACAGTAGCCCTGTTCGCGTGCGGGCGCGACCGAGATCTCGCGCGATGTGCGGCGGCCGTGGCGCAGTGCGGGCGCCGTACGTCCGGTGACGACACGGCTGTGGAGCATGGGCGAGCGACTGAGGCGCCAGACCCGCGGGCGCCCGTCCGCCAGTCTGATTCAGTTCTGATACATTCCCGCCCGGCCGTTGCGCGTACCGTCGCGCCGGGCCGCCGCGTCCGCCTCTGTCGCCACCTGGCGGAGCGGCGAAAGTCGCCTGCGCTGCCATTCGTTGCGGCGCGAGGCTCGCCGTATGGACAGCGTGGGGAGGTGCGGCGCGGTCCGCACACGTCGGCCGGCCGAGGCTCGTCCTCGGCCGTAGCCAGTTGGTGACCCGACGGCCGCCTGGCCGCACTGGTGCGCACCTGGTGCCCGCTGGTGCCGACAGGTGACGCCTGGTGACGTGACCTGGCGACATGCGAGACCATGCAGCGGCTCTGGAAGTCTGAGGTTACACTCTGGATCGGGTACGTCTACACCCAAGGTTGGCGCGTCGGCTTAGTTTTGGTGGTGTGATGTGGCGTGCGTGTCTTCTGCACGCGTATGCTTGATTTGACTTGCTTAGGTTGAAATGTAATGTATTTTTCAATGGATTACGTACTGGGGATTCAATACAGGCAACTGTGTAGTTGTCAGTCTTATGAGCAGCGAGTCGATCTAACCTGCTCGATCAGTGGTTGGGGCCAGGGACTGTCCAATAATCCCATAAGCGGTTCATCAGTTCACCGATCCCGGTTGGCAGCGGGGTGGCCGATCCCCAGCGCTGGCTCGTCTCCGGCTCAGGGGGCCGGCTGAGCCCTCCCGCCTGGTTATTCGGCGGATCAGGCCGCCCGGACCGTCCGAACGCTGGGCCGGCTTTGTTCGCACGCGCCGCACCTGCTGGTCACGGGCTTTCCGGACTGCGGCCGCGGCTGGTCGCTTCGGCTGGCCTAGCCTGAGCGGTTCTGCTGGGCTGCGGTTGCGTAGGTCTTGGAGGACAAATGCGTTCTTAAAAATGCCAATAGACCTCACACCCATGATGCATAGCTCGAGCATTGATGGTCATCCAAACGCGTTGTACATAAGCTCAACACGTGGGCTGTAGACAGGACAGCCGAGCGCACGTGTACTCGACCACTTATGAGAGGCACTTGCGCGGTTCAGAGGCTCGCAGGTCACGTGACTGCGCCGACATCCGTGCTGCCTAGTTCTGCTGTCCGTTGGCGGTCTGCCAGTTTGTTCTGCACGGATCTGGAGATCCCGACGGCCGTGCCGCCCCGTCCAAGCGCCGCTCCTGCCGGCTAGAGGCGTCATCCACGTGCGGCGCCGGTCTCGGCAGTGGACAGACAGGGCCGCGGCCGCGCGTCCGACCGTGCCGGCCACGTGTCGGACCGCGCCGACCGGCTCCCCGGCATGGACGAGCCGGCCCGCCAGCGTCGGCGCCCGGCGCGGCGCTCCCAGGACCCGCTGCGTCCGCCGCCCGGCTGGACGCGGGAATGTGCCCCGCGCAGCGCTGGTCATCGGGCTGCGTGAGCTGCGGCAATGGCTGGTGGCTCATGTCGGGCACGTCAATGCATTGGTAGCTTCATCTGTTACAGTACTGGATACACGGCTGCGCTGGTGTTGGACGTGCGGCTCTGTCGGGTTGCGCTGCCGGGCGTGAACGACTAAAGTTCAGTTATCAGCGGCACCAGCCGGGCCTGCCGACGCGAAGAGAGCCGGGGCTGCGGCTCTGCTGCTGCGGGTAGCGTCAGTGCGCAGCTGCAGCAGCCTCGATATTCTGGCGCAGGGGCGGGCGGTCTCCGGGAGTCGCCAGATCCGATCCTGCCTGAGGCGGCTGACGGCCGAGGCTCCAGTCGTCTCCGAAAGCCGGGCCGGTGCGGTCCGGCGCTGACTCGGCGGAGTTGCCCTGTCTGGTGCCTCTGCCAGGGCTGTCCACAGACGGCGGATCAGCTGCGGGTCCAGCGCCGGCCAGCCACCACGACCGGTTCGGAGCGCCCAAATGGCCGGCGACAGAGCTCGGTGGCGGTCTCTAAGGTGATGCTCGTCCCATATGCACTGCGTAGTAGTGATGCAATCTTTGGGTACGTCGGCAGTGGTGGATCAGCACCGATGGCACTGCAGGAGGGCACCTGCGCTTGCAATTATGGTGCCTTGCGGGGAGCAGGAAATGCTAGCGTGTATTGCGTGCGCTGAAAGGCTCAAACTAGCGCCGACACCAACCAAACGGAGCCTGTGGGAACCTGGCTCTTGTGAGCCCGGATGGTACCGACACGAGACCTATAGCGTGTGTTTGGAAACTGTTGCATCTACCGTGCAGGCTACCGTAGCATGGCCTACGCGGCGGAAGTATTGCGCATCACGCGCGGTAGTGACGGGAGAGCACAACAGCCGTCAGCAGTGCGAACAGGCGTGCCCGAGTTGTCGAGCGCGACATGTACCCGGAACACCTCGCATTAGGACACGTACGGCCAGGCCTTGAGCCCGTTCAGCCAGACCTGGACCAGGTGCAGCCAGACCTGGGACAGGTATCTAGCAGACACCAGCGTCTACGGCGCCATGGCTGCAGCACCAAATGAGCTCGTAAACGCCCGTGCAAGGAGAGGGCGAGGCGAGGAGGCGGCGACTTGCGATAAACCGGCGGCCGCGGTCGGTGCCGGGCCTCGTAAAGCGTGCAGCGGCGGTCGGTGCACGACCCACAGACGCTGGCCGGCCGCTGCTGGGTCTCGGCTGCCGCCGCTGGCACCGGCTGATGCCAGCGGTGCCGAGGGCAAAGACTGTCTGGTGCCAGCGGTGTCGAGGGCAGGGACCAGCTGATGCCAGTGGTGCCGGGACAGATACCAGCTGATACCAGCGGGACCCACACAGTCACAGTCAAGGGTAGAAGAGACCAGCTAATGCCAACGGTGCCGGGGACAGATACCAGCTGATACCAGCGGTGCTAGGACCGCCGGTTGCCAGTCGAATAGAGCTGGGGGTGTAGCGCAGTCGAGCGCCGTCCGTGTTTGGCTGGCTCGGTGATGCGCTGTCAGGAGCGCCTCGCTGTCCGTGTTTGGTTGGCTCGGTGATGCGCTCTCAGGAGCGCCTCGCCGTCAGTGTTTGGCTGGCTCGGTGATGCGCTCTCAGGAGCGCCTCGCCGTCCGTGTTTGGCTGGCTCGGTGATGCGCTGTCAGGAGCGCCTCGCCGTCCGTGTTTGGCTGGCTGGGTGATGCGCTCTCAGGAGCGCCTTGCCGTCAGTGTTTGGCTGGCTCGGTGATGCGCTCTCAGGAGCGCCTCGCCGTCCGTGTTTGGCTGGCTCGGTGATGCTCTCTCAGGAGCGCCTCGCCGTCCGTGTTTGGCTGGCTCGGTGATGCGCTCTCAGGAGCGCCTCGCTGTCCGTTTTTGGTTGGCTCGGTGATGCGCTCTCAGGAGCGCCTCGCCGTCAGTGTTTGGCTGGCTCGGTGATGCGCTGTCAGGAGCGCCTCGCCGTCCGTGCTTGGCTGGCTCGGTGATGCGCTCGTAAGAGCGCCTCGCCGTGGAGATCGGGCGGCGACAGGCCGGCGGTCCGGCACCGCGGCGCGACCCAGACTCACACCGCCGCTGCGCCCGCCGGACTCGTCTCTTCACCACGGTCCCTTCCAAAGCCTGGGAAAGTGGTAGCACGTATTTGTGTATTGGTATGAGGCGATTTGCGGGAGCAGATTTCGCGGTGAGGCAAGTCGGTGAAGCAGATACCGCCGGATTTTGTTCGCTGCAAACAAGCAAGTCATAACCGTGGAGAACTGTTCTAATGGTCTGCAATCTGCAGCAGTGAGTAAAAATCAAGGAACACAACACTGGATATGCCATGTTCTGCTCAACACACCACACGACTTTGCTTTATTCCCATAGCATTCCATTCCGTTTGGTGTCGGTTCGTGGGGTGATGAATGTCCGATGGCCTTCTTAACAGAGTTTTTATGATAATGTGACCGTGCGGTTGAATAGGTAATAACCAAAGCCGTATTTAGTTCTTCGTCGGACATTTTACAGCTTGTTTTCTGTCCGCGTGCAGTCTGAAATGAGCGTGAGCATGCAAGGTCACTCAGATGGCATCTTGGTCGAGGTTGCCAGACGTCCGGGAGCGGTAAAGTCGTGCGCTGTCGCAGCTGGCTGGTCCTGTACGTGGCGCAATGGCAGCCGCCGCTGCTCTTCCGCGCACCCTGCTTTGCACGGCCGCCTGGCACTCGGCCAGCTGGTGGCCTTGCGTTGTAAGCTGACGACGACACGTTTCGTTGTTTTAGCATGTCCGTACGTGTCGTACCGATACGTGCAGCAGGACAGCTGGGTTCAGGGGCAGTAGGACAGCTGGGCTCTGTCTCCGCTCTCCTTCCTTTCCACGCACTGTCCCCATAGGACAACGCCTCAGAAGAGTGCTCTGTTTTTACATACCAGCCATGTGTCAGGTGATGAGGCCGGGCGATGCCGAGGGCGTCTGCGCGCCCGACATTGGCTGACAGGCGCTCTCCTTGCTCAACAGGGGCTCGCAGGACCTGCAGCCGCCGTGCGAGGTGGTGGACGACGAGGCCGAGGTGAGCGAGCCCAGTCGCCGTCGAGCGCCACAGCGGCGCGAGTCCACCAAGCTGCAGTCGGCCACCAAGTTCCTGCGCTCGCTGCGCGCCGGCCGCGCCGAGCCGGCGGCCGAGGGCCCGCCGCCCGACCGCACGAGCCCTCACTACCACAGCGAGGGCAAGGCGGGCCGGCGGCGCGCCAAGCAGGCCAAGGCGCGCGGCGAGCCGACCGAACGCTCGCAAAGCTTCCACGACCACGTCGGCAAGCGACCGCCACCGGCAGGCGAAGGAGCGCGCCGCCGCGACAGCCTGGACAGCGACGTGACGCTGGCAGAGCTCGGTCGTGACCCAGAACCAACCGACGGCGTCTACGAGAACGTGGCGGCGGCCGGCGCGGCCGACGAGCCGCCGCGTTCCCTGCAGCGCGACCGCGAGCGCCGCTCAGCGCGCAAGCTCACCAAGGACTCTGGCTACGAGACGTCGCCCTACTCGGAGGCCGATTACACGTCACTGTCGTTGCACAGTGGAAGCGCCGAGACGCTGACGACCGAGCGGCGGCCGGCGCTGCAGCAGTACCTCACCGAGGAGTACCTGATCGGCGTCGACACCAGCCGCCGGCCGGCCGCCAAGCCGGCGCGGCGCGCCAGCGTCTCGGAGGGCTCCGAGCTCGGATCAGTCCATTCGGGCAGCACGCTGGTGGCCGATCGGGCCGAGGACAGCCGCAGCTCCAGCAGGTCAGTCCCCTCCCTCCCGCCCCCCACTCGGGCAGCACACTGGTGGCCGATGGGGCCGAGGACAGCCGCAGCTCCAGCAGGTCAGTCCCCTGCCGCCCGCCCTCACTCCGCCGGCTGTTTGTCTTTGTGACCTGGTCCCGGATGGGCCCGCGCCGTTATGCTAATTCGGTGATTTCATACGCCGGCTGTGAACGCGATATCGCCGGCTATCTCGCGTGCTGGGCTTTTTCGGACGGCAGTGCGCCCGGCGCGGCTTTGCTGTCGGCCGGCGGAGCCTGCAGCGGTCGGCCGGCGGAGCCTGCAGCGATCGTGTCACCGTCAGCCTTGACCGCGGTCACGAGCGCGGGCCAGACCACGTGCGCTGTTCATTGTTATGCGGCCGCACGAGCCGGCTGCCGTGGCTGCGGCTAGCCGTGCTGACCACCGGGTGGCGGGCTGCCTGGAGCGCGCCGCGCTACACCTTGCTGCGCTGCGCCATGACCGGTGGCTGCAGGCTGGCCGGCTGGCGGGTCTGGGCCGCGACACAGCCCGCTCCACGGTCGCCGCCCGAGGAAGGCGGCCTCCTGGCGGGCGACTGCCGCGTGTAGGCACCGCTCCCATGTCCAAATGAACGGCGCCCCGCGGCCGTCACGAGCTGGGCCGACGCCGACGCCGCGAACGCGGTGTGAATGGCCTCAAGAGCAGCCTGGCCACCTCGTGGCAGCGGGAAGAAGTTTACCTTCGCCGGGCCGCCACCGAAGTAACGTGTGCGGACGTGACGACATATCGGTGCGGCGCCAGTTTCACGGCCAGCCGGCGCGCTTTAATTGGTCGAGTGGTGGCCGGCGTCGTGTTCCGGCCGCTGAGTCACACACGCGGTGGGTGCTGGGACCGGGCGGTGCGACCCTCCGCAGCCGTCACCGGCTGCGCCCTATGGTGGTGTGGATGGGGTGGAGGGGGCTGGGGTTTCCTGGTGACTCAGCCAGCAGTCTGTACACACGGGGAGACACACCTTCCCTGAGTCATCGCAGTGCGCGGCCGGAAACGCTACACGGGGTTGGCTCTTTCGTCCCGGATATCTTGCACTAACATCGACCCAATTTTCCTTCTTTTCCACCCTTTTCTTCGCCTCGGAACTGTTATGCACCGGAGAGTGTTCGGTGACCACCCGCCGGGAAAAACGCGGCCCTGATTGTCCCGGAGTGGTTGTAAATAATGCCGTTTTTGACAATTTAGGGTCGGCGGCGGTCTCGGTTGTTGTTGTCCCTTTTTACGACGCTGGCCGTCTCTGCAGGCTGCGGTATGCACCTCGTGCGGCGCTCCAGTGCCTCCGTGTGTCGCGAGAGCCGACCTCTATGGCGCTTCTGAACGTCCCCCTCGAGTGGGTTAGTTTGTCGAGTGGTTTGCACATCAAAAGCCGTCCCAGTGGCGGCTGGGCCGGCATACCGCGCCGTTGGACCGTCGCACCGGCCGGAGCAGCGCACTCTGCTAGGGCAGCGCACTCTGCCGGCCGCGTCGTGGACAACAGGGCGTCGTCGAAAGACTGTCCGCACGAGGCATCGCGGCCGCTTGTCCGCTGAAGTCACCTGCGCCACTGGCGAACACGCGACGACCTCAACTGACGGCCCACTTCCAGTTCCGTAATTCGCCGCAAAACTGGGTGCCCTATGGCTGGCCGTGTGACGCAGTGATGGCGGGTAATGGTGGTGGCCCACCGCAGTGGGTCATATGCCAGAGTCCGCGGCGCGCACCGTTAGCCATCGCCGGCCCCGGCGCGCGCCGCGATCGGCGCACATTACCCAAACAAAGGGCAGCCTGATCAGGCATCGATCATGGACTGGACAATGCGAGCACGCGGCCCGCCGGCGGAGGCTTTCATGTGCGGTCGGTGCAACCCCGGCTCCGGCTCCGGCTCCGGCTCCGGCCCCGGCCCCGGCTCCTGCCCAGGCTCCGGCTCCGGCTCCGGCTCTGGCTCCAGCCCCGGCTCCGGCTCCGGCCCCGGTTCCGGCTCCGGCTCCGGCTCCGGCTCCGGCTCCGGCCCCGGCCCCGGCCCCGGCTCCGGCCCCGGCCCCGGCTCCGGCTCCGGCTCCGGCTCCGACTCCGGCCCCGGCCCCGGCTCCAGCCCCGGCCCCGGCCCCGGCTCCGGCTCTGGCTCTGGCTCTGGCTCTGGCTCTGGCTCTGGCTCTGGCTCTGGCTCTGGCTCTGGCTCTGGCTCTGGCTCTGGCTCTGGCCCTGGCCCTAGCCCTGGCCCCGCCTCCAGCTCTGGCTCCGGCTCCGGCTCCGGCTCTGGCTCCGGCTCCGGCTCCTGCTCCGGCTCCGGCTCCGGCACCGGCTCCGGCTCCGGCTCCGGCTCCAGCTTTGGCTTCGACCCGAGCTCCGTGGCGATCGCGGCCAGATGGCCTTGCACCGACCGGCTGCCATGGCCGGCAGCCGGCCAGTCGGCGCGCTGGCGACGATGCGGCCGGCCGGTCGGCGCGCCGCGCCCTGGCCGCCCGCTTTGCTTGAGATAAACGTTCGCTGACCCCGGGTCGGCGGGCCGCGCCTCGCCAGCCGGCGGCTCGGCGCGCTCCCGCGGCGTCGGGTCACCGCTCACACTGAATGGGACACGGCGTCGTCAGCAGACCGTCAGCGCGCGGCAGCCGGCAGCGCTGCTGACGCGGGGCCCGCTGTGCGGCGGCGCCCGGCTCCAGCCTGACTCCTCGCTGCGGAGCTGCGTGCTCCGCTCATTGTCCGCGTGCGCCGTCGCCGCGGCCGACGCGTCAAGTAAGACGTCTCTGGGCGTTCCGCTCTTTATCGTGACCTGATCTCGGGAGAGATTGGTAAGCCTCTTAGACGCATTCGGCCTCGGCAGGTCTAAGTAGCTTAATTACGACGCTCGGTGGAGAGCCTAACAATTGGTTCAATTGCGGCGATCTGGAGCGATACGGACAAAGCCACTCCCGCGTCGCATCGGACCTTACATCGGGACCGGAACAGAGGCTGCGGCCGCCGGGGCTCAGGTCCTCGGACAGGTCACGGGTCAGGTGACGCGCCACGGCCGCCGCGCCACACTCAACAGATGTCATTTCCGCGCGGTGTGCGGAACCCGACCACGTACACACGAGCGGTGCTGACGGTGTGCCAGCCAGCTCACCCGGCTGACCGTCCATGAGCACCGCGGCCTGCAGACGAGCTGCAACGAAATACAATTTATCAGGCGAGTTCACGCTGCGGGGTCACACAGCTATGGTGGAACTTGAATGAGCGCCGCCGCCGCTGCCGCTGCGGTCGATATCGGGTGAACGAACTAGCACGCCCTGTCGCGTCCTCGGCCAAGGCGAGGCCGGCGCTCACCCACAGGCACCTCCCAGCCGAAAGGGCCTCCCACCTGAAGGGCACCCCCCAGCCGAAAGGGCCTCCCACCTGAAGGGCACCCCCCAGCCGAAAGGCGCGCCGCCGCCGATGGCCGAAGGCCGCTTGGGCTCCGGCTGAACGGGACACGAGCGACCAGCGACCACTGACCATTGACGACCACAGACCACTGACCTCTGACCACCACTGACCACTAACGACCGCTGTCAGCTGGCCGGTCTGACCTTGTGCGCGGCCGCTGGCTGGGCTGCCCACCTGCACTCGGCCTCTGTCGGAGCTGGCGTGTACTGGCTGTAGCGCCGCCCAGATGCTCGGGCGAGGTGATGCTAGATGTGAACAACAGCGCCGAATGCCAGCTTCATTCAGTCGACGGTCTTATCCCAGTCACATTCAGCTGTTCCCGTCTGTCCAAAGGGTGGGCTGTGACCGAGTCGGCCTGCGCCATGCCGGGGAGCTGACCAGTGTTCGGCAGCTGCCCCTGGTGCGCCGCTGTGCGCAGCCCCAGCCCCAGCCCCGAGCCAGACTGCGCTAGGGAGCCGCTGAGGCAGCGCCGCCGCCGAAGCCGACTCCTGTCCGGCTCTGAGGCACTCGGTCGGGCTCTCAAACGGTGGGTAATGTCAGAGCCCTCCCCCCGGGCCACCCGGACACGACCTGCGCATTGCGGCTGGGCACAGAGCCAGCATAGATGCTTTGTATAGGGCTCTTCTCCACCTGTGTTGAGTTCTTGGAGTCAGGCTTCACGGTTTTAGCCTGCATTTTTCAGGTTTGCTGTAAAGCAGCAACCGATCGGCCTTCGTGCCGACCGCCCGGCCGACTATCTGTGTGCCGCTCCTCCCGGGGTGAGCGCCGGCCGCCCGGCCGCGCCCGGGGCGGCGGCGGCGGCGCCTGCGCCGGACCGCCGCCCAGGGCTCGGCTGCACGCCGCCGCCGCCGCCGCCCAGCCACCGTTATCGTCCGGTCGCACGCGGTGACGCCGAGACTGGGATTAATCGCACGCGGTGACGCCGAGAATTTAGCTGTCTGGCGCGCTGGAAACGGATCGTGTGCAGTCGTGGGCTTGATAGATGGGATGGTGCGCACGGCTGGTGGGACGTCATGACGTCATGCCCGGGCGGTGGGCCGGTGTGTGTTCGTGGTACAATCATGGACCCACCGGCGGAACTCTGGGCTTGGCCAGCAGGACCCTTTTGCCGATTAGTGGTCCCTGGCGCTGGTTGCTGGTCTCCTGGCGCGCGCTGGTGGGCTCCTGGCGCCGGCTGGTGGGACACTGACGCCGGTTGGTGGAACACTGTAGCGCAGATCGGAGTGGTGAGCTGAGGGTGTGTCTTGTGCCCTCACGCCACCTTACCGCTCCCCTGACCTCGCCGGCTTATGTGGGCTTGGCCGAAGCAACGAATACAAAATATAGGAACGGTCGGAATTCGATTTTTAATGTGAGGCTAAGCTGAACTGCCAATGAAGCTGAACTGCCAGGGCTGCAGCTGCCACCAAGGACATATCCAAGGGAAGGGGCGTCACCCTTTCCCATTTAAAGGGGAGGGGAGACAAAACGGGCGTTTTCCTTTCCATTGTAGGAGCTGGAGGCACCATGGGCCGTCGAGGAGCACGGGCCGGTGATGTGCACCTGAATAGACCTTAGTGAATAGTTACAATCAAAGGCTAAAATGCAAT